CACCTGAAACTAACAGAACACTGTTAATCAACTATACTCCAACACAAAATAAAAAGTGAAAAAGAAATTGACAATCCTGCGATTGTATGTAGCTATGTGAGTGTTTGTGATTCTTTGTACATTCTATATTTATAAAATCCTCAAAGGTGAAAAAAATCTCCCTCCCCCAATGCTACCCCTGGCCCAAACAAATTTAATTAAGAAAGGCAGAAAAAAAAACATTCTTTTGGTAAAGACTTGGGAACTGAGGCTAATGTCTGTATAATTACAAGTGGGCTCTAAGAGTTCAGAAAACATGGCTTTTTGTTAGTATGAGAGTTTTTAACCTTTTAACTTTTTATTTTGAGGTAATTAGAGGCTCATAAGAATTTGCAAAGATATTACAAGAGGTCCTATGTCCCCACTACCCAGCTTTCCCCATGGTAACATCTTACATAACTATAGTACACTATCAAAACAAGGAAATCGACATTGCCACAATACAATTAAGTAGATTCTATACCTTACTGGGACTTCACCTGTTTGGTTGCACTGCACAGCCTGCACGATCTCAATTCCCCAACCAGGGTTGAACCTGGGCCACAGCAGTAAAAGCTGAAAGCGCGGAATCCTAACCATTAGACCACCAGGGAACTCCCTTTAATGTCTTTAAGTTATAAAAACAATTTGCTCATCAACGAATTAATGGATAAACAAGAAGTGGTACATCCATACAAGGGAATATTTCTCCACCATAAAAAGGAATGAAGTACTGATACATACTACAACATTTTGAAAACATTTTGCTAAGTGAAAGAAGCCAGATACAAAAGGTTATATATTGTATGATTCCATTTATATGAAATGACCAGATTAGGTAAATCCTAGAGATAGAAAGGAGATTGGTGGTTTTCAGCGGCATTGGGGAGAGGAGATGGGGAGCATGTTCCCATGGGAATGGGAACCGTTACCACAACAGTTACGGGTTTCCTTATGCCATGATGAAAATGTTTTGGAACTATATAGAGGTGGTAGTTGCACAACACTGTAAATGCACTAAATACCACTGGATTGTTCACTTTGAAATGGTCAGTTTTATGTTATTTGAATTTCATCTCAATAAAAACATTTTAAAAGCAATTTGCTTGTTGTAGAGAAGTCCAAACATAAAAGTATAAGCAAAAATTGACAATTTTTTCTTCTCCCAGCTGCTCGCCTCTCCACATCCAATCCCACCGCACAAATACACCTTCCCTTAACTGCTTAATAGGTAACAGCCCATGTTTTAAAAAGCTTTATAACATACAGAGAGATACATATGTTTCCTTCTCTCCTGAATGTTTACTGAGCACTTTATCCATGTCAGGCAGGCAATGTTGTACCTGATGGGAAACTCCATGGTGAATAAGACAGACTGATGGAATTAATTTTCTAGTAAGAGGTGGGCAGTAAGCATGGGAATGAATATGAATTTCAGATTGTGAAAAAATGTGAAAAACTAAAAGTAGATAAGATGGTAGAGAGTGATGGTTGGCGGAGGGCCAGGGTAGCTAGGAGAGGTCTCTGAGCTGAGGACACAACATGTGAGCTGAATGACAACAAGCTAGAGAAGTGAAGATCTAGGGAAAGAGCATTCAAGGGAGAGGAAAAAAAGCTAGATATCTTTACAGAAATAGGAGTGTACTAGGTACATTGATCCACTAGGTACATTGATCCACTAGGTACAATGTACACATATTAGATATCTTGCTTTTCCCCTACTTTGCCATATATTATACATGTATTTCCATGTTGGCCTCTCACTCTTTTTAATAGCTGCATGTTATTCCATAATATTGATACACCATCACTTAACCATTTCCCTGTTGATGGACATTCAGGTTGTTTCCAGTTTGGAGCTACTGCAAAAAATGCTGGAAAGAACAGCTTTTCACACTTGTGTTCATATTTCTGTAGAAAACATCTCGTGGAGTGGGACTGCTACATCAGTGTCCATTTGTGTGCACACATTTTCACCCACTAAAAGCCCAGGACAGCTTTGACTTTTCATATCAGTCTCATGTTCAGAAGTATAAAAGATAAACTCTTAGGTTAAAAAAACAAAACAAACTACTGTGTATTTGATTAAAGGTGCTAATGCTGTGACCCTGATTTAAAGGCAGAATAACTAAGCAGGGGGCTTGGATGACCACAGAGAATGAGAGAGAGAGAGAGAGAGAGAGAGAGGGAG